GGTCAGACAGACTGATGGTCAGACAGACTGATGGTCAGACAGACTGATGGTCAGACAGACTGATGGTCAGACAGACAGACAGACTATTTACCTGGTCTGCAGTACAGAAGATATGAGCATCATCTTGCTGAAATCGTCGTACCCTTGTTAGACCACTTAGAGTACCAGACAACTCATTACGATGAAGAACACCAAAGTCTGCCATTCTCAAGGGTAACTCCCGCCAGGAGCGAGGACGATGGTCAAACATCACACTATTAAAAACACAACACATGTTCACAATCAGGGATTGCTTCAGTGGTCTTTTCCCCAAACATCACAAGGTAAGAATAAAGATATATACATGTAGTAGTAAAGAGATGGATAATGTGCTCTCCTCATAGTYTCCTTTTTCTTGTAGAACAGTTATAGTTGTTTATAGTTTCAACATGAGCTTACCAATGGCCAGGGCAGTTCATGGGCTTGAGGGCATAGCGCTCCTTTTCAACTTCAAATGAGAACATGTGTTCCTAAAATATAGAAAAGAAACTGACAGGTCACATCAAGTCAACATGGCTGACTTGTGAAAATGGTCCTCATTGTTCTTACAGTAAATGATGCATACCCAACAATTGAACCAGTGACATGTCCTATACCACTACTGTAGGACTCACAGTGAATATTTTACAACATAATACAAGGGCAGATCAAGCCAAAGTTTTAGAGAGGGCTAATTGAGTTTCGGGGGGGCTAATTGAGTTTAGGGGGGGGGGGCTAATTGAGTTTCTTCCATCAACACAACGGAAAACAATAAAAAAAGCATCTAATTCTTCAGTTTTGTTTTGTTTTGTTTTTTTTCTGCTGAAGGGGTGCTTAAACCCCCCTTTGCCCCCTTGATCCACCCTTGTAATAGACCTCTTTAGCTTGGGTGCTGTTTTCCCTATCAGACCACAAAGAAACGATACTCTTACGAATTTCTAGTGGTCTGAAATGTGACAACATTACGCCCAAGCCAAAGAGGTCTATTCCAGTGTTGGATCATAAATTCCCTACCTTGTAGTGTTGCCAGTGTCCTGAAGTCTCCCATAACTTGGTGCTGTAGATATTGGGAGAGACAACCTCTTGAAATCCTCTTTTCCTGTACTCCTCCTGTAGCAAATAAAGAATGCCATCATCAGTGTTTTCATTAAGTTTTGAAATATTAGGAGCTGAAGAACTGAACTAGCCAGAGAGTCCTGGCAGGGTTTTCATTAAGTTGTGAAATAATATGAGAAGATCATGGTAGTTTAAGGTGGCTGCCTACTTTTGAACGTTCGATTTGAGCCCACGATGTGCGCGCGCTCAAAAACCGCTGAAAAATCTACAAGATCTTATTGAAGAACCATACGCGTTTTGAACTCTATATTTTTTGATAGCTCATTCGAAAAAACTCCTAAAAATCAAGGTTATATCAACATTTTAGGAAAAGTTTAAATCAGGAACACGTGAAAAAATAGATTTTTGTAGGGATTTTTGTTCGACTTTATGAGATTT